GGAATTGGCACGGCTCTTGAGGAATCTTCGGATGGATATTTTTTTAATAAACAATGGAAATGCCTGGAAAATCCTTGAGTGGAAAGTGTTTCGAGATACACACGCGAACGGTCAGTGACACACTGCATTTTCACAGGTGATTTGAAGTTCGCTTGCACAAGCGCGTAAAAGTCACGACTCCAGTCATGTAATTTATTTGCGTAACGAGAGGGGAATTTTATTTTCTCCCTCTCACTCTCGCTTCGTGTCTCCTCTTTGACTCTGTCCGGCACTCCATTAAATTTTTATCCAATTTTTTTTTCAGTAGTTCATTTCAACCGATATTTCTCCCCTTTGAAATGAATATTTGACAATTATTTTTTCCGCAAATACAATTTTCCCCATTAATTTCAATTCCACAAATTTCCAATTTAACATTTAAACTCGAATTTTTTCATGAAAAGTTTTTAAATTGACGATTGGATAATTGAATGCACATTTGAGTGATCGTGGAGATAAATAAATAATAAAAATAATTGATATTTTCGAGCGATAACCTTTTCATTGAAAAATTGTTGGATTTTCACTTTTATATTCATTATAAAATATAATGGAGAGGGCATCATCAGAGAAACGGTCTACTGAGCACTCATTACGAGACGTTAATTTTTTAAACAATTCCCACCCCTCCACTCGTTTTATTCCGATCATCTGAGGGGTTACGAGCTTCTGTTATGAACGCGGTACATTATGCTCGGATGCTGTAATCCCAGTAAACATTGAAGCGATAACGTCTCAGAGTGAATAGTTCATTGCCCTCATGAAGTATTAACTCATCCATTGAACTCAATACTGTTCCACATTTTTACAAACTCATTGCACTCACAGAAAAAAAAAATGAAAATATTCCCCCAATCAATCCAATAATAAATAATTAATCCAAAAAAATTGTCGTCACATGAAAAATTATCGATGAAATATGCGGATACGATCGCAGCCATCGGTAGGCGACCATGAAATTCCCATCAGTAATAATCAATCAATTAACCCGCGTCGCTTGATCAATCGACAATGGTAAACACCAGGCACTCAATGAACCTGCGGTGATTATAATTTATGCAATGGCACGATCAAAGGTAACGATGCATTCGCTGGTGGAAAAATTTATCGCCTAGATAGAGATCTGATGAGCGTAAAAATGGGATGGAAATTATTTTCGCTGGGGATCGAGATCTCGAAGGTTCTTGGGATACCGGTTTGGCATTAGTTGGTCAAGTGCATTTGTGGTGGACCCTCTATCCACAAGGACTCCTCTATTTTCTGTTGTTGCTTAGGTCGTTAGTTTTTAATAGTTATTTTTTTTTTGCACCTTGTGGCTGAAATGCCTCTTGTACTTTTGGTTGGGAACAGATAGAAAAATATGATAATACATGAGAATACAATGATTTATTATTATTGGAAATGCCATTATTTGATCAATGGATTTTACAGATTCTCATATTTCTATAAACTTTTTGTTCCAGCGCAGACAATTCTGAAATATTCAAATAGAATCAACGAATGGTAATTAGCGCAACTAATTATGAGGATTGTTGTAAGAGTTTTCTTTGGTATTCACCGCGGTACAAATAAAGAATGACGCTTGATATCGCGGAATTACAGATTTATGGATTTTTTATTCAACCAACTGCAGGAATTGAGCTCGTGAGCGTCAACAGATTGAGAACGTATTCATCGCTCTGTGGAAATTTCTCGTGTTGAAAATTGCTGGTTTTTAATATTTATGCAAGACAATTATAAATAACAATCCACGCGACTCGTGGAAAGGGTTCGCTCCGGTGGAGCGATGGCGCCCTTGATAATCGGTTCCGCGTAATGATAAATTTTTTTTTGAGAAAGTAGAAATTTCGGAAAGTACTTGAATGAATCGAGTAGAGTAGTTAGGATTGGATGAAAATATCGGGGTTAATTTGTTATGGAGTTGATGGTTTATCGAATAATATTTATTAACAATTGATTAATAATATTGAGAGAGACACGGCCATTTTTTAATTTTTGTCGTGGCCCAGTGTTATTTCCATTCTCGTGTATCGAATTACAGACGGATAAACAGCATAATTTAATTGTTAATGAGCGAGCCTTCGATACAAGAGGAATGTAATTCAATTATTCCATTTCCTCCGGTATTTATCCCATTTAGGTTATCAACTGGTTGTGTTTACAGGCCGCTGGGCATTCCGTGAATCATTTCGCGGAAATCGATCTTCTCGTTTCTCGATTTTTTTTTCTCCCAGTGAATTGGAGAAAAGATGAGTAAAAAAATACTGGGAATTTACACAGATAGGAGAGAACAAGTCCGCGAGGGCTGAATTCCCCTCGAAATTTATTACCATTTGAAATGTTCTGAATTTTCAAAAATTTCCCGCTCCCCCCGCTCCGCCCCTCGGTAAAATTGCTCCAATAATTTGCAGGGCCCTCGATTTCCGTTGATATATATTTACCATATATTTCTAGATATATATTTTATCGATGTGGATATACTCCGTATACAGCCCCTCCTGCTGGAATTATTAAAGGTAATTCCTCCCATAAATTCCCCCTAATTAATGGACGAGTGATATTTTTGTTATGCGGATGAGTAAAAATAAAAAAGAATTGTTTTCAAATTTTCCCCTTTCATACGTGTGGTCCCTGCAATTTTCGGAGCGTTGGCTCACAGGTCAATCATTAATTCAAAGTGAGTTCTCGATTAATGAGCGGTCGAGTGACTCAACTCTCATGAAATCCTGAGAACAATAACGACAGAAGTATGTGATATTAATGTTTAGCACAATTTTTTAATGTCACAATAATATTTACTCGGTTATTATGAAGAGTTGACAATATAGTATTTAGTGCGATAATTTTTTGTTTATATGGAATTAATTTATTGTTATTCTTTATGAGATTTTTCGATTGATCCAGTGGGCGTACGATGTAGGCAGAAATGCCTCACCTCTCTGACATTCATTGCAATCCCAGTTTCCACCTGAGAATAAAAAAAACACTCGAAATAAATCAACAAAATGAAAATGCGACTGCATCTCATTGCGTTTATATATTTGAATAAAAATTCCGTGCACGTTGCACGTGGTCCGTCTAGTAATTACTTCATTATTTAACCCAAGACAGATTTAGGCATCACAATTGATGCATCAGCCATTCCCATTGGTCATTGTATCCGTGCACATAAATAACTAAATTTCATTCTCTATTTTCTGCCTCAGCCTTACAAGATTAAACGTCAGATTTGTTTTAATCCGTTGGTTTATTGTTCGGTGATGGCTGGTTTTATCAACTCTCCGGATAAATTCATCTTCCTCCTATGAATCACCGGTTCAACACGAATTCGATCAGGAAATAACATTTTGAAGGCTGGAATTTTTTATGGAAATCACTCACGGAATTCCGAGGAACAAAAGAAATTGCGGGTGGGGAGAGATTTTTTTCTTGTCAATCAACTCCACGTTTTTTACAATACCAACAATTTTTTTTTAAC